CCATACAGCACAGCTTATAACCAAAAGCAGGACCCAAGACCAGAACCTCACTCACTGTAAGCTCAAAGTTCCCATTCATACTACATAATAGAGGTTGCACAGGTGGCTTACTTGGAAAGAACACTTCATTTCTCTTGCATTCTTCCCTCTCCCTTCAACTGAGAGTTACTGGCAGTAAGAGCCAGAATGGTGTTAGACATTGTCCCCTTTTATACGGCATACTTAGAAAAAGCAGACCCACCAAATAGATGCTTTTAGAGCTTCAGAAGTAATCTTTCCACACCTTGACAGGACAGTGCAAAAAAAAAAAAAAAGATACACAGGTGGGTCTGTGAAGCAACTAATCACACTGCCCATGCAGTGTGCCACTCAAGCATTGGACTGCAAACCCATTCAAACGCTAGACTACTTAGTGCTCTTCCTACTAAGGTTTTTGGTTAGATCTACTGAGTAGAGCTACATCACATATTCTTCTCCTGTAGAAAACCACCTCTATGAGCAAGAACTACCTTACGCAGCTGGAGAGCAGGTTTACAAGCTTATCTTTATAACCTCTTGCTAAGGCTTTACATGTATGCAATGAGTATTTTCATACTCATACTCAAACTGTCTATTCTTGAAGATACCAATTCAACTTCCTATGCAGCAATGGTGAATCAGATAAACCTTGTAAATTTTTACTAGGTTTAACTAGAACTTTTCAGAAAGCTTTAGTCAAGAATAGAAACAGGCTGGACTCATAACATTTCAACATTTATCCATTATCAATTAATATACATATTTCACATTCCTATTTGTGAACTAAACCAAAGAGCTTAAGAATATCATGAATCTGAACTGAGCAATATGCATGCAATTCTTTAGAAGCAACAGATTGACACCCTCATATTGCTTAACTGCCCCCCAAATGTAGGTTATCTTGCTTTTACCCTAGGGCAGCTGTAGCAGAAACTTTCTAAATTCAAAAGTTATTTTATTGTGAAATAATCTGTATGTATTTTAAAATAGCATAATTAATGGAACTAGCTACATAGCTAGAACAGTTTTAGGGATGAAGAAGCTATTCTTAGTAATAAGTAGATATGCAAACATGATGGTACTTCTCAAAGGCAGAGACTGCCTCCAAGCATAAGTTTGCTTGAACGAGCAAAGGCAAGACTAATTCAGCCCACCAGATTTTGCACTGACGATGCTCTCCGTTCCACCTCCTAACAGTAACAAGCTGTTACAGACAATAGATTTAATTCTCTTCCCATGCACTGGTGAAACCTATCACTTAGCAGCAGAGAGATCACTGGCAAACTAGTACAAACACTCTCACGCAACATCCAAGAGCTCAATGACAAGTTTAGACCTTTTGTTCTGTTTTGAAGAAGCAGAGCTAAAAGAGTTTGCTTGAGCTGTGAAGTTTCTGTCCAAGACCAGAAACACTAAGAAGTCCAGAGTTATTAGAAACCATCACTGAAAGTTAACTAAAAATCCCTAACACATACCTCTATTTTTGTCAAGATGAAAATAAAAGCAAGTATAAATTACATAAGGCAAGCTAAATTTAAATTACTTCATTGAAGAAATTTCATTTTTCTCATCAGTAAAGATGATGTGACACAAGTTTAATACTTATGTCCTCTTCAAGTGCAGTAAGCCTCTTCCCCCCCACCCCCCAAATATCAGTAAGATTAGGAGTTTAAATCCCTAGCCATATAGTAAGAAACCTGCTAGCCAGTATTACCATCTAAATTCAAGTGTTTGTAGTCATTCGATTGGCACAGAGAAATTTTTGAAAGTATTCATGAAAAAATAAAGCACTGCTCATATAGACAAAGTAATAATCAATACCAGGCAACAGTGCAAAAGCTTACCCATACACAAATTTCCTTGCTTCTAGGAAGATCTGATTTATCAGTTCTCTAGTTGGGGCAACAATAATACATTCCGGTTCTTGCTGCTCTTTAAAGATACTGGCAGTTACTCCATCTCTCATCATGTGGGCCACAATTGGTAGAAGAAAAGCTGCCTAAAAAATAGCATCAGTATTTATGCTCGTTAGTCTTAAAGCTTTCATCAGTCACACTAAAAGCTGCGTGTCAATCTTAAAGCTAGAATGATACAGCACACTATCAACTTCAAGGAAATCAGACTGCAAAAGGGTTGACCTGAATGCACTACAGAACATTTAAGCTTATTTCTCCTTGTTTAAGATGCATGAAAATATCGCTCTGAACCTTAAGAGTCTAATAATGCAGGAACACGGTCATGCACTAGCTTACTTCTGTGTTCTTCAGGCAGTTCCACACATCATGCTGACATACACTGATAATTACGTACCCCAGGATCAAAAACCCTCCTTAACATTTACTTAGAAGCTTTACATTATCATCAGCAGATTCTTAAGGTGACCATGTATCACTATTGTCCAGACTACTACAATAGCAGATCAGTTTGCCACACAGCTGCACCAGCACCTTTACTTCCATTAAGACCAGTTACCCCCAAAATACAATCTGTACAGCAGTCCCAAAAGCATTCAGAATATTATAGCATAAGCTTTGGACATTTCCCCCTCTGCAAACAGAAGAGCTTTTTCAAAACAAGTAACTAATAAGCTACATAACAAAGCTAGAATTCCACACTATACTGAATGGCAAAAAGCTGTATTTAATATCCAAATATTCTCATACAGAGTTGTCAGTGGCTAGATTTGGGTATACTAGACAGTTTAGCAAGTTGAGACAACTGTCAACTTAATACCAACTCTCAACACTGTTCCATGATTAACACTAAATCACCTAAAACTAAGTCCTGTGCAGATCAGACTTGATCAAACCAAGGATGACAAAACAGCACAACATACTGTTACAATCTGGCATAAGTTAAACAAACAAACAAAAAAAAACAAAAAACCCCCCCCACAGACACACAAAACACACATACCAACATCAAAAAAACCCCAACACAAAACCCCACACAACACAGAAAGAAACCCCAACTTCCAACTGCTGAGTTTTTTCTCATCAGCAGTTTCTATGACTGCCTGAATCTGCACCTTCAGTTGCCCTGAAGACTGGCCTGGTGTATCAAGACACTAGTTCACAGAAGTTAAAAAGAAACTCAGCCCATCATTCATATCTGTGCTTAATACACCACCTGCCATCGCAGTGTAAGTCAAATCACTAGACAACAAGCTGTGAAGCATCTGGTACATTGAAGGCTGAGGCATCCACCTAAAAGGTTCAAGGCCACACACTTCCAGTAGTATGAATACTACGCAAAATGCTTACAGTTTTTCCTGATCCTGTCTGTGCACATGCCATTAAATCCCGTCCTGCCAGTATAATAGGAATGCTGTACTTCTGCACTGGAGTAAGTTTAGAGTATCCAGCTTTAGCAATGTTCATGTTTAAAGTCTGACAGAGGTTAGCTTCTTCAAAAGCCTGTAAGAGAAAAAATTAACAGTACAGAGCCACAGAAGTTAAAAACTGAGATGCTTACCACAGGATACAGACATCCAAACACGAAGAAGTATTAACTTTTGAGGAGGTCTCACCAGTCATGTAGGTTGCCAAGGTTCCTACATGTAAAAGCCCCAAAGGTTTCTTCAACCTGCTCATGCCATTCAAGTAAAGTTGTTTGTAGGACAGTGAAGGCCTTCAGCTGGTGTTATTAGCTTTGAAAGAAAACTGCTCAGAAGCCATATATCTGGATTCAAGCAGGTAAACTCACATCACGGCATGTTATCAAAACAAACTAAAACTCTTCAGTTTCATTTCACATAAGAGACACACACTTAGTCTTTGTGCTAAAACTAGTAAGGGGAGCTAAAGCAACATCCCTATGCAGGACCAAAAGGCATCATATATTACAAAATCAGTTTAACTTCAGTGAAAAATCTTTCAGAAGACGGATGGAGGAAAAAAAACCTCTGCATCTTCTCTTTCAACACAGGTGCTACTACCCCCTTCGCCCTTCTTCCTCATTCTTCTCCCTAAAGAGAGTTTTTTTTTTCTTTAAACACTAGCCACCTGGTATGGAGTAGAAGCAAAGTTATATATTACTTTTAAACAATAAACAGCAGCCACAGGAAACAGGGCTAGAAATTACTTCAAAAACATCTCTCTGTCCACATGAAAACTACTCCAACAAGTGTTCATTTACATTGTTAAAGATCCCCCAGTAACAGACTTCAACAAGATGACTCTACCAGCCTTCCCAGAAACTGCTGCCAAAGACCTCTTTCTTTCTAGATCTAAACTGGTATTTTTCTGCAATTTAAAGACTATACTTCCTGTCCATCCAGTATCACTTTCTCTGAGCTATTCCTGTAGTTTGTCAATGTCATTTTGAATTCAAATTTATATCTTTCAAATGGGCAGCATTTTCTTCCAACATAGTATTTCCTGCAAGATTCAAAATCTTTATTAATATTTTCGTTAGCAGTGAATATTTGACTCAGCATACATCCTTGCAGAATCACGCTCAACATAAACCCTGAGATTAATGAGTTCACTAACCAGTAATGGTGCTGGAGGGTCAAGTCCTGATACTTCGACAATGTTTTCATCATACTTGTCAAAATTAATTCCTGTCTGATAACGTGCAAAGATGGCTTGTTCATCATCAGGTGGAGGAGGCGGCACGTAAGTCACCTTTGGACCTTAAGAACACAACCACTCAAGTTCATGAACAATATAAAGAAAACAAACTAAAATTACTTTAAGTATGGAGCTATTGAAGTTAAGTTCAGTGGGATGTCATTTAGAATTCTCTCCACTTTCCAGGAAGGCAAGAAATTTCATAAATAAATTCTATTAGAACTTAGTTTTATACTACTAGACTTAAAACTCACTTACAAATAAAGTCAGACTTTTGTAAAGCATTCGTGTCTCAACATTTGCTCAACCACCTTACTTTGAAGAGCTACTCATGAAAATTAAATTAGGCTCCACTTTACCACCATGCAACAACCAATTCTACCACAAAAATTCATTACACTCTAAATTACCCTATTCAATAACAATGCATTTATTAATACACAAGGATAAAATTAATCTGTTCTAAAATTAATCTGTTCACAGCAGTACATTTATAGTTCTGTATTCCTTAAGGTATTTTTCAAGCTAATAAACTCAGAGGTATAAAATTAATTATTTGATGCTCAATAATAGGTTAGCAGTAGAAGCCATTTCACAGGGACCTCAAATGAGGAAGGATCAGCAATGAAAATTATTCATTATTCATATTCAAGTCAGGAGTTCACTATTTGTCTTTTTGCATTTCCAGAGTAAGAGAAAGGCAAAATAAGACTAAAGCCATTTGCAAAAAACGCTGCAGGTAAGTAAACATTCTAATAGATTGTCCCGACTGACACTTTCAATACATGTCAGAAAGTCATTATTCATCATACATGAATGATCCTGCATATACATGAATGATCCTGCAGGAGAACCTGTTCTCCTGCACATACAAATCATGAAATTCTATTTACTAACTTGCACTCAGTATAACACATCAAGCCTGTTTTCCAGAAATAGCATCCCAGATGCTATAGCATCTGAAACTGAGAATCTATTTTTCTTTTGTGGTTTGCTTTAATGTCTGTCATCACTGAGATGCCTACGCTATTGCCCATGAAGTTCTCTAACACATGTGTCTCAAGTAGATATGCTTTACCATTAGAAAGAAGAAGCAGCCAGCAACAGAGGAATTCTACAGCACTCCATTCCAAAAACTTTGCCTTTATTTATGTGAGAACTGTGTTGCCCAGTAATTTAAAGATGAACAAAGTTTAAACATATGAGTTGCCAAGCAAACACTGTTAAACTCAGTGTTACACAAACAGTTTTCAGATGGTTATGAATTTACCCATATCACTACCTTCTTTTTTACCCAGTTACTTCCAGCAACTTTGAGTAAGAGCATGTTCCTTGAGTTCAAAGCAAATTAAAACTGGCATGTTACTTGTGAAGAAGCTACTTACCTCTTTCAGAACGTATTTCTTCATTGCATTCTTTGTAAGCTGCTGTTAAAGAAAGCATTCCAAAGTTAATTGCTTTTAGGAAAAAAGCTCATTTGAGAGAAAATCTAAGAACCTTAATGAAAAATTCCTAGAGGCGCTTAGAAAACTCAACAGTGGGTCCCGATATGGTTGGTAGAATGAGTGGAAATATTTAGGTAAGCAATGAAAGCTTAGTTACAAAAAGCCAGAAGACAAAGGCCCCATATTTGTGTTTTGAAGGGCAGAAAGAGAAGATGTCAGAAAACTGAGCTTAGCAGGACCTCACAGTAACAACAGGAAGGAATTAAAGCCAGCATCTTGCTGAGGGACTTCATAAACCAGATCTGGTCCTTACTTAACTCTTAGCAAGTCCCTTATCATCAAATCAAATGCAGTCATCCCAGATTACGAGATGGCCATCACAAGATGTCTAGATAAAGCAAGTTGTATTTAAAGACAGCCAAGAGGAATGATCCCTCTTAAATCCAGCATATGCTTTGCATGGGGAAATATAGTTGTCTATATTCACTTGAGATGAATCATGAGCAAAAAAAAGCATCTAAACAAGAAGTTGAAATGCCACAGAAATGTCAGTTTTATAACCTTGTTCTGTTACCTCTTAAGTGAGGCTTTTACCCTAAAACTGATAAATAAAATATTGTGAGTAACAAGAAATTTACACATGCTTACAGTCACAGCATTTTGGTTTTAAGAACCATTCAACTTTTCCACAAAATCAGGAAATGCTTGTTTTATACTACATAACCAACTTCTAAATAACTAAACAGCCATAGCCATAAAATTCAGTGTCATCACAGTAATTTTTCAAGAGTTAGGAGAGAATTTAAATCAGAAGATAAAATTATCCTGTTATTTCAACAACCACACATTTATAACATCTACTTCACGAAAGTTCTGACCTGACATCCATGTATTGTGTGTGTGTTGCTTTCATTATCACTTGAAAAACAAAGACATTTACGCTTAAGAGCGAGGAAGTACCACGTTTTACATATGTAAAAACTGTATTAAGACTGAGCTATTAATAGCAGCATTTCCAGAATCCTTTTCAAGTCCTTTCTCTTACCATACACAAAATAGAAAAAGCCTTAAACCTAACTGGTAGCCTCTAGCTACTCTGTGCAGGAAGTTGTGTTGCTGATTTCAAAGAAGGGTAAAAAAACCCTTTAATACAAGGCCCCTCTGGAAAAGAAAGGAGGCTAGAAATGTAGATAAGGGGCACAAGACTGAGTGAAGAGGAAAGACAACAACGAAAGCTGTTAATAGGTTCTCTACTCAAATGTGCAGCTCAAGCCATTCATAAAAATCATACCGTGAGACTGACAATTTTAAGACCAGTACCACAGAAGTACAGTGACCCTGCAGTGACCCTCTGCCCTCCCTCAGCTGCATTCTTCCCCACTGCAGCAGTGCAAGCACAAAAGAGCAGCATCAGGGCAGCATATTAATCCAATTGCTCATTCTCAACAAGGGTGAATTATTAACTCTAAACATATATACCAGTTCTAAAGAGACAGCCAGTACTGTGACTTGGATCAGGAATGGTGAATTATTAACTCTAAACATATATACCAGTTCTAAAGAGACAGCCAGTACTGTGACTTGGATCAGGAATGGTGAATTATTAACTCTAAACATATATACCAGTTCTAAAGAGACAGCCAGTACTGTGACTTGGATCAGGAATGCTCTCTTCAGCAGCAATACTCTTAAGCAAATCTATAACCACAGCTTCGAGATGGTGACAGAGAATCCAAGCAAAGGTGCAACATACAGTGTGTGTAATCACTTTTAAATACTTATTTTTCTATCAGAAGATATAATATGCTTACACAGTATCTCTAATTGCAAAAAAGCGTAACTGTTTTAAGAAAAACCAGCACAGCCCTACCTTCATTACCTCTACAAACTCTAATAGAGTGATGTGACCGCTATTCAGGGATGGAGGCAGCACAACAGCCTAGCGGTGCTTGCTCTGTTCCTTTGCTAGATCCAGGTGCATTCTCTTACTGTAAAAGGACATACTTCCCATGCAACAAACTACTCTTTATGAAGAATTATCTTTCCACATGAACCTCTATACAGACTAGTGCAACTGTTGCCTACCAATATCCATAACAGTCTTTACATACTAATACTTTACACAATAGTCATGGAAAAGTAAGGAATGCCTATCCTGCATTAAGGATGCAGTTATGTCCACTATGAGTATTACCATGTTGCCTCTATAAACACTGAAGTTTGTAAAAATCACTATTGGAACTAAAAATCTGAAAAACTTAATATGAACTAAGTCAAATAGAGGCAAATCAATTGTTGTTTGGTATCGAGGAGCACTTTGAAAATGCACGCTCGTTATATCTTTTCTACAGTGAAAATTCTTTTACTAGTATCACATAAAATGTTCTTATGTTCAGAATATCAGCCATCCACTACCCATTACACTAGTTTAATAATATTTCCAATTTGAATTATGGGACTTCCATGAGCGATAGATTACTACGCTCTAGGTAGCACAACACATAGGTTACAAGTTACAGTAGCATCGGTGGCAAAGGAAGGTAGGACCATGAGGGAAAAATCCTTTGTAGACAGCAAAAAAACCAACATTAGAATAAAGTCATCAGGAAGAGCTGGCCTCTCAGAGCTACAAACCTTACTTGTCAGCCTGGACGAACCTAAAGCAATACTTCCCTTTGGGGGAGTCTAGAGTGACTGTCTCAAAACAGCACGTTCTTAAAGGCTTGCTTTGAATTTTGGGGTTAACACCTCTGCTTCACTGTGCATTACCTGACCCAGTAGCAGTAGGACTAAGAAAAACATTACGGAAGACACAGCTGTGAAAATCCAATTACTAAAATTTATCCAAGTTACAAACATGTTTTGTGTAGGCGTGCAAGCAAGCTATTTAACATTTGCAGTACATTCTTAATTCGGACAGAGAGAACAATCACAGTGACAGCGTTTCGCAAAGCTAAGAAGGTATTGTATTGCCACAAATCAGCAATGAGGAAATCTGAAAGGTTCACCACCCTACTAAAAAGTCTCACCTGCATGACCTCCAAATGCTCCTCTTCCTCTAGAGCCAAGAAAAATGCCAGACTGAAGTCTACCTCTTTGCTCATCTTTAGTATCTGTAAGTAATACACAGTGTAGTGGATATAGTGTCTAAAATTAGTATAATGAAATACTATGCTTAAAGCTAATACTATTCACTCCAAAAACTCTACAGTGCAACAGCCCCAACAGATTCTTTATAACTCCGACCTATGCTGTATTATTCCCAGTAATACGATTTTTCAAAGATGCCATCCATGTTCCACAACATGGCTGAAGAACAGAAGCTACTTCATAGCTTTCACTTTTATACTTGTAGTTCTCAGGGAGCAAGCAAACCCAGAAAGAATGACCAAATGTATGTTGCTCCCACACAAAGCAGCCAATATAAAAACTTACTCTCACTTTGTCCAAATCCACCAGGAAATCCTCTAAATCCTCTATTTTGTGTATTAGAATCTTCTACAACATTCCTTTCTTGAAAACCTGCAGTACAGCATAGCACACAACAACTTAATTTGCCCAGTTTTGCATGTGCAGATCAAGTCCCTTCTGTGTGGCAATTATTCTTTGCAGTCCTTGTTTTATAAATTCAGATAAAGAGTACAATAAAACTAAGTAATTTGCCTAAACATACAAAAAAAAATGAAGAGAAGAAATATTTTTTGCCAAAAAGTATGATGAGAAGAAGAGTCTACTGCTCTGTTGTAGTATTGCTTCCTGCAAGAAGTAAATCAAACATTAAGTCTTGAAGTATTTGACTTTACACACATATATGCTATATAAGCTACTAACTTTCAATTCTTCGGTTATGATGCAGATCAGTTCAGTCCTCCGGTTCAGTCACAGGACAACTGACAGCATTTGTACCTTCTCAGTCTTCATAACCAGTACTGTAGAGTGAGGCAGTCTTCCAATTGTTGCCTCCTATGGAGCGAGGATTTGCAAACCTGCCTTTCAGATCTATCAATTCCTATTTTTTTACCACTCAGAATTGCTTACTCAGTTGCTTGGGACAGGTAGTGCCAAGAGTGTAGTGTATTTTTATTTCTAACCCCCTTCCCTAGTCACCCTCCTGATGGAGCCAGAAAGGAAGTAAACAGCCACATGCATAAACAAGGTATTTCTCATTTTACACCAGACAGTTTTAGGCGTTGTCCAAAATCCAAGCAGTCAACTTATATCGTCATTTACTCCTTAGTCTTTATTCTTCAACTGAACACCTGTTCTATCATCTTGCAATGACAAAGGGCATCTTCTGCTAAATGAGACCAAGAAGTTCTCCTACCACAGCATCTGTAGCTCCTTCTCCATCAATGCTTGGTGCATACTAATTTATAGGTCATTTGAGTTTTTCCAAATTAAAAAAAAAACCCACATCTTAAAGGCTCACATGCAAAAGACAGTCTAGATATAAACATCCATAAATACTACAGACTTTAAATACACCTTGTGAGTTATTTCACAATTGCCGGAGAGAGTACAGCAGAACTGTTCGTCATCATTCTGCAGCACCACCAAAGTGTTGCTGCCTGCTAAGTCAAAGAAGTCTAGCATTCCCCTACCATAATGGGCATCAATCCAAGAGATGCAGAAATGGTGTAGAATTTTTTAAAAGAATAAACATAACAACCGCATGTAGCTCCACAGCTGTTCTGCAGGTCAGAACTTTTGCTAAACGTGCCCAAACCAGCACTAGAGTTTCCACCTTCCTTGTTTCATAACCAGTCCCGCTTACAGCCATAGAACTATCCAGACAGATGCTACGTGACAGTAGCTTCCACTGCCCTATACGCTTCCGATAGTACCTGGTGGAAGCACATGCATCAGTACTGCCAATTACTAACCTTCTTCAATGTGCGCTGCATACAAGAGTGGCACTTGTAATTATAAGCAAGAAGAGGACAGGGATTAAATATTGCTTTATGGATACTAAAGAAAGAAAGCTTTCAGGTCTTCCACAGAAGACCACTGGTATACTCCCTCACATGGCACATATGTGAATACTAATATTCAGCTGCCTTTTATATTACATTATGACTGAACAAAATTATCAGAAAAATACCCTTCTCCGGGGTATTTTGGAATGGAATCAAAGCAAGAGGTAAACAAAACATTGATTTTAAATGTAGAGTCCTGCCTTCTGGCAAATACGTTGGGGTATTTTATGTTGTGCAGTCGAAACTAAGGGGTAATACTGAGTGCCTACATTATGCAGAAATAAGGATTGGTATTACCCTCCAAGTCCTAAATACTCATTTGGCTCTGATACAACAAAACTGAGTACCTGAACAGGGAAAATTTAATGTATCAAATAAGACTAGCCACTAGAATTACAAACACTCCAGAAAGTTACCTCTGTTTGCAAAATTCCTTCCGGTACCAAATCTACTCACTGGTTGACACTGTCTGTTCAGACGTTCATCAGTATCTATAATTAGAAAAAAGAATCAACTTAGCATTCAAAGCTACCTTGAACTTCAGGGTAGGCTTTTGGTTTTGGGTGGGTTTGGTGGTTTTGTGTTTTTGTTGTTGTTGTTTCAGTTTGTTTTTTTTTTTAAACTCAACAATAAAATTACAGAGTCATTCAAGCTGAAAGGGACCTCAGGTCTATAGCCCACCTCCCACTCAACAAAAACACCACATGATGAAGATGTCCTTTTATAAGACAAAGAAAATGAATTAAAACTATAAAGCTTAGGACAGGTGTAACTACTGTTTTCCATAAGGAATAGCACCACTCAGCAACAGTACTGCTACCAACACAGTAAAATTTGAGTTTCCAGAATCTACTCGAACACCAGTTGCAGAGTCCTCCATTCTAAATGTTCTGTCCAGGAGGAAGGCTTAATCACCCCCAGAACTACAAATTTTAACCATGCAATCCTACCTCTACTCCTAGAATACTCTCCAAAATGATCCTGCTTATGCTGAATTCTGTTAGATCTTTCAACAGCACCTAGAAAAGGAAAACAAGAAAGTAAGGCTTTTGACACTGTCTCCCATAACATCCTCATATACAAACCAATGAAGTACAGCCTACATAATTGGACAGTGAGGAGGACTGAAAGTAGGCTGAACCACTGGGCTCCAAGGGTTGTGATCAGCAGCACAAACTCCAGCTGGAGGCCAATTACTAGCAGAGCATCCCACTGATTGATACTAGGGCCAACACAGTTTATCATCTTCATTCATGACCCCGATGATGGGACAGAATGCACCCTCAGCCAGTTTGCAGACATACAAAACCGGGACGTAACACACAGCTGTGTTTCACTCAGAGGAAACTCAAAACATGCTAGAGACATGGGCAGGCAAGAACCTCGAAGTTCAATAAAGAAAAATGCAAAATCCTGCACCTGGGGAGGAATAACTCCAGGCACCAGTACACACTGGGGCCAACCATCTGGAAGGCATCTTTGCAGAGAAAAACCTGAAGGCTGTGGTGGATAGCAAACTGAACATAAGCCAGCAGTGTGCCCTTGCAGTAAAGGCCAACAGCCTTCTGGGGTACATTAGGAAGAATGCTGCCAGCAGCTGGGGGCAGGTAGTCCTTCCCCGCTGATGATGCCGTATCTGGAGTGCTGCGTCCAGTTCTAGGCTGTCCAGTACAAAACAGACACTGACATACTGGAATGAGTCCAGCAAAGGACCACAAAGATAATGAAAAGACTGGTGCATCTGCAGACACAGAGTGGCTGACAGCTAGAACTGCTGTGCCTGGAGACAAGGCGGCTCAAAGGATCTTACATCTTAACAGAAGTGAGCAGAGATGACAGAGTCAGATTCTTTTCACTGATATGCAACAAGGGGACAAGAGGCAATGGGCACAAACTGAAATACAGGAAAATCCATTTTAACATAAGGAAAATCTTTATACTCTGAGGGTGGTAAAACACTAGGCAAATTGCCTAGAGAGCTTGTATAGTCTCCATCCCTGGAGAAATTCAAAATTCAGTTGGACAATGTCCTGAGCAACCTGCTACAGGTGACCCTACTCTACACAAGGATGTGGACCAACCAATCTTCAGAGTTGCCTTCCAACCTGAGTGATTCTATAAAAATGAAATTCCCTATTCTGCAATATCAGAGTCAAGATCAGGGTACATCAGCAACCATCATACGGATATGAAATCTGAAATCAAAACATGAAGTCTACAAAATTCCATGTTGTGCAAGTATATGGCACATCACAGAAACTGATTTTTACCATCTCCCTTCCAAGTTAAAACTGCTTAACATAATGATATAGCTACCCCTGAAAAAAACTAGACACTAGTACATTCCACAACAAGACAAACACATTAGTTAGAGATCACCTGTATACAAAAGCTTGTCATACAGAAAAAAAGAAGACGGATGACATTTGGTACATTATCAAGTCACTCAATCAGGAAACTTTGCTCATACAACACTAAACAAAGTGTTAAACTGCTGCTTTCATAGTCTGAACAATGTTCAGAGTTCCTGCTCACTTGGAAGATTTAAGTGAGTAGTTTGTGGCAAAGCCAGTACAAAAGATTCCAATATTTGTGTTTATATGTATCAAGCAGCAAATAAAAACAGCTTACCAATTATTAAATTAATACTTCTATTGTTTACCACAATAGATTGGCTTCCATTGACCAAGTCTATTTGCCTTCAAAGGCACGAGGACTCTCTTCCCTTTAACTTGCCATCCTAACCCATTCTTATTCTATCACTCCTTTTACACTGAAATTTCCACACCTTAAGCACACTAAGTTAATTCCATATTCAAAGTTTTTGGAAAGCACATCATATGCCAACAAAATACTTGATCAGTAAAGCATCTGCTTTATTAAGTTCCTTAACCATGCTGCCCTCTGTGTTTACTGCCTTTACTAATGAAAGATGCTGGACAAAAACACAGATTTACAGACAGTGAACAGGACAGAACCAATAATCATTCTTTAGTCAGGTCTGCTATGCTTAGCCCTTACACCAGCTGAAGTGTAGGCTGCACTGTTACTTGCCAACCAACCTATTAAGATTGGTAAAAGTATAGCAACTTTCACAATTATCATTCGCCTACTACGCAAATTATTCATGCGACTCATGTCTATATAGGTTTGCAAGTTAACTGGTCTTATAGGAAGTCTAGAAGTACCAAATGCTAGTGTTTAATTCATCACTGTATCATTTACCACTCTAAATTTATTAATTTTCAAGCAATATTTGATAGATTAAGAGGACTAGAATGAATTCTTGTTTCCAATTCACTGGAATTAAAATCTAGCATTGCATCAGCATATCTCTGAACAACAGCTGTTAGATCTGTTGATTTCCGCATCATATGCGTTCACTTTCATTTTTCTACTGTACACGGGGATTTAAAATCCTGATTTTAATCCATTCCAGAGACATGCACCCCCACATCCTGTACATACTAAATAAATGTCATTTTGGCAAGACTTTTAATTCTGTTTTTTGTCTGGGATTTTCTGTGGGTGGTTTGTTTGTTGTTTGTTTTTTTTTTAAGTACCAAAGGAGTATGAAACAGGAAAGAAGAAAGTTCCTTCAGTATTGAAAATTCAGAACAGTCAGCTTGTAAAGAAAGTTTTGCTTTCATGAAGAAGCAATACAAAGAACAAATTCACTTGTTTAAGTCAAAGTAAAGCTTTATAAAATACTAATTTGCTAGTATGCAATATTGCTTTTAGCTTATCCTCATTACAAGGATTTACACAAGAGTACTACTACTAGATATTGTTTCAAGGAAAAGAATCAAAATTAAAGTTTAACCTGCATACACTAACTCTACTCATGCAATTTAGTGTCAAACAATTAAGCAAACTATATCACTAACAATAGTTATGAACTATACAGAACCTAGAAGTGCATTGCATACAACAGAGCAGCTCATGAGAGCATTATCTAAAACTCAGCTGAAGCACAATCTGTTCATAAATTAGAAGTTTTGCAAGGGAAAAAAAGAAAGAAGGCCGATGCAGCCTTTTCTAAAAAAATTTTTTAAAAAGGATACCTTTTCCATCATGTTGCAGGGAAAGAATCCCTAATCTGATGCACCCTTTTAAACAAGGTCAAGACAAGATGCATGATCTTGTGAACCAAGAGCCTCGCCTCTGGACTTTCCAAACAGCTTTAGTTCTTTAAGTCTTTATTTAAACAGCAAATAAATTTTGCTTGTATCTAGCATAAGTAAGCAATCTCAGTATTATTACCAATGTTTTCAAGCACAAGTAGAGCTCCCTATCAACCAAGAACCTGAAAGATTGTTTCAAGCCAGAACAGACACTTTGAAATTGCTCACGCTGATCTAAAATGGCACAGTATGCCTAGCTCAGGAAAGGAATAAATGGTTAATGATGACAGCTTTTTCCTTCAACAGGAAAAGCCCTCCCTGACATAAGTTCAGTACAAGAGGCACAAATCAGAGAATACTTACGTTATTTTTGCAATATGTAATGGAAAAGTTATCAGGCAGAGCTGGCAGCTAGTCAGAAAGAAGGAGTTGGAACAAACAAAACGTGAAGCTCCCAAGACTCACTTCCACCTAACCAGCAATTCAAGTTCTCTTCACAAGCACTGCCTTTCCTATTTGTTCTGTGTGAAACCATTACTGAAGTTAGCAACCTGGAGACCTCATAAAACATTTCTGCTGTTCTAGGATGAATGCAAAGCCTGTCATCCAAATTTTCTATTTCCTGTAACTGTCCAAATTCAGAGGAATTCAAGCAGCACAAGTAGTTATCTTGTTCCTGCCCTTCCTAACTTTCCAACATCTTCGGGACAAGGAATTGGGAGAACATAAGTCTGCCTTTCAGCTATACACTAAAAGGCAGGGGAGAGATACATCAGTAATAAACATACTGCCATGTTCTAACTGCTCATAAACGCATGAGCAGTTATATGGAGAACCTGCCGCATGAAGAAAGACTGTGGGAGTTGGGTCTTTTCTCCCTGAGGAAAAGGAGGCTCAGGGAGGACCTCACAGTATTCCAGTACTTGAGGGGCAGCTACAAAGAGGGCAGGGGCTCTCTCTTCACAAAGAGCCACACGGAGAAGACAAAGGGCAACAGGCACAAGGTGCACTGGGAGAGGTTTCATCTTGACAGAAGAAAGAATTTTTTACTGTGAGAACAATCATTCACTGGAACAACCTCCCCAGGGACATGGTGGAGTCCCCATCACTGGAGATTTTCAAGGTGGGATTGGACAGGGTGCTAGATAATCTAATCTAGGCTTCCTTTACCACGAAATGTTAGACCAGATGATCTTTCGAGGTCCCTTCCAACCAGGGCTGTTCTATGATTCTATGATATCAACGTAATTTGTGCTAACCACAATTTGTTAAAGTAAAGTTTAGGTTGTTCTTCCACAGCTGGATCAACTAAATGATATAAGCTCAAAATTTTTACCCCAGACCGAATTTCACTAAAGTTAAAATATCCTCAAGCAGTCTTAAAGACCATTCCTAAGTTCAGAAACTACAGTGAGAACACCCCGATTGCCTTATCCCACAGCCTGTTAGCTCTAAGCAAAACCTGTTTCCTGATGTGGCTATTGTAGAGTCACACAAAGTAAAGCCCGGGGTAAACTACCTTCAGCGGCAACTCTGGCTTGGCATATTTAAAACTTCTATATCTAAACTTCTTCTAACTTCTGTATCTAAAACTTCTGTTCAAGTTTATAAAGGCCCCATCTTCATGAAACCAAGAGTGCTTTACAGAAACTTGATACCAAACATCAATGTTTTGCCTTGTGGTTTTTCCTGTTTTTTCTAAATGGATCCAAGTTTCTGTTCAACAACCTCACCTGACGTTTTCGTATTTTCAACACAACTGTCAGACAGGACCTCACCAGAACTGCTCAACATGGCACATAACATTTATTTTCAACACTGTTCATGTTTAGCACAGCCTGTTTTAGAAATGCTTGTGAGGTAACACCTATCAATTCTCATTGGAAGTTATATGCTGTATTCAACATGTAACTGCAGTACAAAGAAGGGCTGAGGATCAAAAGGAAAGTCTACTTGTTATGTTACCTGTATAATTTGATGTTGCTTACTCCATGGCAGACGCATGAAAATATCACAATGATAATACTGTGGTTTTCTTTAATCTCCTAAGCTGTTCAAGGGATCAACTCCCCCAAATGTCAGCAAAATCAAAAGTGCCTTTCACATACCGAATGAGCCTACACTTGGACTGAAGTCAGATGAGGGGCCATTTGGTCTTTCAGAGAAGCTAGCCTACAAAAAGAAAAAAGGCACATCATGTTAACCCCAGGCCATGCAAAGTGCATAAATACAAATGCAGTTGCTACGTCTTGCACTTGAAAGAAGTTGCCTTCTGCACCTTCAGAAATGCAGTCTCTCAGACTCTTGTGTTCACTTCAGTTTAATACACTTCAGTATGGCATACTGTTTGCATCTGAATGTCACCAAAAGCACATTATACACAGTTGACATGTGGAGTAAGTTTATCTTGCCTTCTGTCGCTGATTTATGTGGGCATCAGCTTTGTCACCTTGCCAACAAACATTTTAAGCCTTGAATATAAGAAACATTTATTGTTCAAAACAATACTATAATCTTTTGAAGTATTTTTCTTTTCCAATCTTTCAGACTGTTTGTATTGTGACTAAAAATCTGTTTTCATCACTTTCATAACTGCCTTTCTAGGGTTTTACAAGACAATGCTTACAGATTATCTTAAAAGGAAGTAACTGAAATACTGTCAGTCCCTGTTCATTTATTTAAAGATTCAGATATTCCATTTGAACAATTCAGAACAGCAGCTCATTTTCACATTTTACTCTTATGGTCAGTTTTACTTCCAGCAAAGGCCATGTTTAACTTTCTCCTGTTTAATGCAAGCCAGGCACATAGTAGTAAGCCAAAACAACAGCTGACTGAGGAACATCACGTAACTACCACACTTTTTACTTCAAGACTGTGCTTTTTAGACATTATTACAGCTTTCACACTTCTCAATGTGGCTAGCAACAACTACAGGAAATTAAACCCAAACTGGTAAAATTACTATTCTGAAAGTGTATGCTGTAATTTCTTCTTTTGGCAACCTTACTTTTAGCCTTGTACATCCATCTGGGTAAGCCATTCGCCTTTCCTCTTCCTCCCTGTTCCTTGAGGCTGAATTTAAACGCCCATTAAGACCAATGCCAACAATCAAAGATGCATTACAGATTCTCCTCAAATTTACTGCCGTTTCTTCTGATACCAATATTCACTCAACAACATCAGAATCAGCAAAATTCTTTAGCTGTTTCTCATTACATTCCTGTATCTTATCCTTCATTTCACACGAAAGCATTTCACTGCTATGCAAAAAATAGCAAAATTTAATAGGAACAATTTCCATACAAGATTTAGCTCAGAACTAGGCCTGACACTAGGTACCTGACATCACCCTAGTTCTGCTATGAAGTCCAGAACTGCATTTTAAGAATTATTCTGCCTGCTGCCAAACTCTTGAGACCATTAAACTGCACACAGTTTAACAACTTAAATGTACTAGTTCCTGACCTAGTTGTAGCTTTTCTACTGCCAGGAATTTAACTCAAGAGTAACTATGATCATCCTCCTCCAGTTTCAGTTTAAGTGAGCTGGGTTTGCAAACGCTGTAGTAGCCCAACTCATTTGAGAGGGAGGGGGGGAAGCAGAGTAGAGACAACTTACAGAAGCAACTTGAACATAAGATCTGAGAGGAAGCAACAGCTCCACCTATTTCTGGATATATGATAGCTTCCTGAGAGCTTGGGAAGCAAGAGTGGAAACTATCCAGATCTGTAAACACAGATGCTATATAATCCCAGTCAGGATCCATGAGTCTCTTTGCTTTTCTTCCCTAAAAAGCTGGGTATTAAAAACACTTTCAAAATACACAGCCAAAGGATTGAATGCCTTTATGGAATAGTGACCATGTTAACTTATTTTAGAAGACAACCATCATGATGAGACCCACTTACACATTCAGAGCTACAGATACAATGAAGTCAACTTGGTTTCTATACACAATTAAGCCTGCTTGAAAAGTCAGATTTCCATTTTCTAAGACTGCAGTTTTCCAAGCAAATGAGACCATGTAACAACTCACTGCTATCAAAAAAAGATGAGGTTCTATTTATTTTCTCTTTATCAGCTTTGGTGGTCAAGGCCATCTAAGCCATTTTTCCATCAGGTTAGTAAATTAAGAGAGCTCACAAAAGTATACAATGAGCACTGGTACCTGAACAAAACAGCAGCAAGCAAACTGCTCATGGGGAGGAAATCTCATCTCTTCAGTAACAGTTAACAGTGAACTCCTACAGCAGCCTACCATATTTGCAAAAACATACTGTAAATTATATTCAAAGTCTTATCTACAGTCCTTAAACAGGTGCGCTCCTCACCCTTCCTACTCATTTAAGACCATAAAGTTTGGGAACAACATGAAGTGCAATATTAACTGAACAATGAAAATCAGCTGAGAGAGTCACGTATGTTCTATTTGTTGCTGTGGTAAAAAGAAACAGCAATTCAGTGACTGCCAGCAGAAAGAGACAGCAAATAGAATAGCTAAAAGGACATCAATGGTGCAGAGAGAGAAGTTACAACTCACATTTAACCTACAGCCATGAACTACCACCAAAAGACATGGTTCTGCTAATCCCCAATAATGCAGTTCCACCACCACCCTTTTACTATTCAACAGACCATCAAACCAGTCTGATTTGTGCAAGAAATTGCAGCCTACTAACACCCAAAAAACAGTGATCTGTTCTCAGTTTATCTTACAACTTCAGAAACACTGGATCTAACATACATAAGGGAACAGGAATGCATTATAAGGGAAAAAGGGCAGGCAACACGAACCACCCCTTTCAGGAGTTAAAAAACTTTACTTGAATACCCCTTACCACCATTTAGCTGCAATTATAAGTTTCTACCCCACCTATGTTTTTGCTAGTTCCCTTCCAGTCTCTGCTGGTCTGCTAGCCTATCCACATAGGTACTCAATTCCTAGCCCATGTATCATAATTAATGAGTTACTAGTATGTGTCGCTTTTATGCCACTAGTATATGTCACTTTAAGTACACATCCTCCCAAAACCCAATGTAAGAAGGCAGCATGAAGCAGCTAAAGATTAATACTAATTGGCTACACTAACCATGCCCCAGGAGCCTCCAGGGAGGCAAGGCACCTCAGCATTTTGAGAGACTGAAACTGCTACTATTTGTTAAGAAAACACTGCCTTTTCAACATGCAAGTTAAGGGCAAGTTCCTCCAGGCACTTCAGGAATCACAGGAACAGGGGACCACAGCCTGCCAGCCACCTAGGCCGCAGGGCCAGGGGTGGAAGGGAAAAAGAAGCAAACATGCTACAGCCCAACAATTGCCACCCCATACCTGCTCAAGAAGTGGGAGGATTGGCGATCCCTCGTCCCCCATCTCTGCATTCCAGTCCTCTTGGTTCATGCTGTACCCTTTCAGATCTGCTTGCAGGAGACGAAACACATTAGCAGCGACACTCTGCCTGCCTCCAGCGTGTCCCACAGCACCCATGCAGAGGACACTATTGAGTCTGCCTGTCCCAGCACTCACTGTCCTCATTGCAACCCCCACTGCGTCGGCGGGGGGTGGTGGTGGTGGGGTGCCTTCTCGGGGGAGAGCCGCTCACTTCCATCAGAAAGGCGCCCAGCCCCGCTCTTACCTCCTTCCCGCGGCCACCGAAGCCCTGCATTGAAAGGAAATGGCGCCTCTCACCGAGGCTTCTAATAACGGCACCACCACGTGCAGTTGCTGGCCCGTCCCCTGCCTCGC